GGCTTAATGGGCAATGACAGTTCACCCAAGCTGAGTGGGAAAGGTTGTGTTGGGAGTGAAGCCACCTGGCTGACAGATTCAGAATGCACAAGAATGTGGGCGAATGGATGGGCCATGACATGCATCAGGAAAGCCATAACCAGTGAGCAGGATGCCGTGGCATCTTTAGCACATTATGCATGTCCTGTCTTTAAAAGAGAAAATTCAACAGTCCCAGTACTGCTGATGTGACTTCTTGAAGAAAAACTACCTCTTACAAGATGGGAAAGAATGCTGTCCAACTCAAGACATCCTTATTACAGGATGTAGAATAGGTTCCTGTCTCTCCAGGAGGAGAGTGTCTTTTGATCAGGGGAATAGGGGAAGAAAGAACATTTAGATCTTTTTTTTTTTTAATCAAGTAAGTTTGCTGGTTGCAGAGGCAACCCTGACTGCTTCTGAGTACGTGTCTCTTCTGGCTGAGATCTTGTCTTTAGAAGATAAAAATATCCCATCACAAAGCCCAAAGAAATGACAGTTATGAAAATGCTCTCTTTCTTGCCATACTTTTTCATCTGTTTTTAATTCTCCTCAAATTTTGACACTTAGGATTTTTGATTTAAGTTGAGAGAGTGGAAATAAATCATCTCTCAATCACCATCAGAATAGAAATAAAGAAAATACCAGCCGAAGGCTGCTCTCAACATTACCTCTACATGAACCATTGGTGCAGGGGACAACCATCTAGAGAGTGAATCAAAAAAATGAGGAAGGTATGTGAGGTTCTTCCTTTAAATCAAAGAAATCCCAACATCTAGCACATTCTCATTCTCAAAAAAAAAAAAGAAAAGAAAAAGAAAATCTGTTGAATAAAGGTACAGTGGCTTAGAAAATCTAGGTGTTTTATCCTCAGTGCTTAAAAAAGTACATGATACATAGAAGATGCTCAGAAAATATTTACTGAATGACTGTTGAGTACATTACTGAAGGATGACTAAAGGGTATTTTCCTATTGTCATGATATCCCAATATGGTATTTCTCTCAGGATACTCAGGTAAGAGAAAAGTTTGAAAAAATAATATAGCCACAGTGTTATGAACTCTAGAGTTAGACTAAAAATGGAGTCCAGATCTCAGCTTCTCTAGCTGAATGACATTAGGCAAGTGATTGTCCACATCTGAGCCTTAGTTCAATCATCAGCACAATGAGAATAAGTGACTCTTCCACTCAGAGTGCGCCAAGAGACCCAGGAGCTCATGTTTGCAGGAGCTTTTCATGAAATGTCTCGTTATTTATTAGCATTCAGTAAATTTATGTTATTTTTGTAGTTGTTACATCTTCTAATGCAGAACTCTTACTACCTATCTTATGAAAACAAAATCGGGGCTCATTGTACAAAGTGACTTTACCTTTAATAATTTTAAAGAAGCAATATGGTGAAGTGAACAGCAATCCAAAGATTATCTTAAGGTTGGAGACTGTAATGTAAGAGTTCATAAAAGAAGATAAAGTTGAATTAACTTGTGATAAGAAGTATAAAGAGTACAAGAGAAGTCTACGGGAAGATTGTCATCCATAAGAAGATTCTACAGTTGTTGAGACCAAGATATAGCCATATCTATGCAAAACAAGTGGAAGAACAGAGAAACGTTAGAGACAATCAAGATGAAAAGAGGTTCTTATTTCTGGGAAAGGGTTACAGAGCTGGATCTTGAGGTAGAGGTAGAGACACATTGAGAAGTTGTCTGAGAAATTTGGGGTTGGCCTATAAGCATGAAGAGAGCAAGAGAAAAGAAGAAACAGCACTGTAAGATGCTCATGCTCAGGTACAGTAAATGTTTGAAATGCTCTCTACTAGGTTGAGGTTTGAGCTATTGCATATTCATATTAAGAACCTAGTAAAAATGATAACCTGGCTTCTATAATATTAAAAAACAAGAAATAATTTTTCATGGCCTTTGAGATTTCTCTTATCCAATTCATCCATATGAGAAGTGAAGAGAGAACAGTAGCTTCTCAAGACACCAAGCCCTCTTGGAAGTCTTTCTGCAGAATTCAGTAGCATAAAAGTTAACAGTTCTTTCCCCAAGGGAAGATGAGCTTCCACCAATGTGCTGCACCTTTTTCAAAGGAGTGTCTTTGCTGGAAATGCCGTGTCCATGTGAAGGCAGAACTTCTGCTGGGAATACTACATTTCCCCACCCTTGCCGTCCTTCAGTTTTACTCAATTCTTTTAGTTGTAGATGGACAGAATGCCTTTATTTCATTGCTTATTTTTATGTGGTGCTGAGGATCGAACCCAGTGCCTCATGCATGCTAGGCAAGCGCTCTGCCACTGAGCTACAGCCCCATCCCCTTACTCAGTTCTTAAACATGCATGTAATGTGGGCACAGAAGGAGGTCATCTGGCAATATAAATATGTTTCTTCATCCTCAGTGGGACCCCCCCACCTTACATACACCCATAAACACCCATGCATACCCACACAATTTCACATTTGGGACCCTTTTGAGATCCATAGGCCTGCAATGAGAAGGAACACAAAAGGCATTATGAGATTTTATTTAAAAAGCATTAGAAGAAAGTACCTCCTGCATAAATAAGGTTGCAGTGGGAAACACAGATGGATTGATCAAGCCCAGAGGCAGAGCAGAGTGAGTGGAACAGAACCTAGGAGCAGGGCTGACCATCTTTGCATACCAGGCTAGAGAGCAAGACAATAAAAGACACTTCAAATGGAAAAGTGTCTTGTCTGTAAGAGGGGAAATAAACAGACTCTCTCCAAATCTAGCCTCTGTTGATACACATTCCCTCTACTTTGCCAAGTTTTTATTCCTCAAGATAAACGTGAAGGCCAAGCTGCCAGAGATGAATTACAAAGCCCAGCTCTCTGCTCAAGTAGCATTTGATAATGCCAAGCAGTGGGGGCCCAATAAAATCACCACTTTTGAAATCAGGTGAACCAGATCTACACATGCATAACCCTGCTCTGCTGCCCTTGGCAAAAGGAGGAGAGAGCAGGAAGGAAACTGGGCAATGAAAATATGAGACTAGGTAACATTTTTATTTCTTATCGTAACCCTCTAGAGTACTGAGTGACTAACTAAGACAGAGTCGTTTCTCATTTCTGGTTATGGTATAGAGAGAAGACCAGCATGACTTTGTTGAAAATTCTGATATATGAAATTTTATTTTTAAAGAACAGGCAGTTTGGTCATATTTAAGTTTCTAACAGCTGCTTGAACATATGCAAAAGTAATATGGAGTTTCCTGGTGAGCAGCCCTTAATGAGCTGCTATAGCAAATAACTAGATATAATTTGGAACTAACATAGTGTCATTGGGAGTTTGAGTGCCCCAATAGCTCCCGCCTAACTCTTTTTTTGAGGATTGACAGTGCACAAGAAATTGTCCTAGCTGCTGTTGATTGCCCAGAATGTACTCCTTTTCCTAAATAGTTCAAAGTATTCCTCTCAGCAACTCGTTTAAACCATTTATTTGTTTAACAAACTTGTAGTTCCAAATTTAGCCCAACTCCGAATTATCCCAGATGCCAAATCAGCAGGTACAAACTAATGAAGTCTGACTGTGTCCAAAGCAAAGGCAAAGCGTGTGTCTTCTATTGATCGAAGCCCAACCTCTTTGATTTGCCACATTTGGAGCTGTAGTTACTGAAAGAATTTTGAGAGTCATACAGATTTGAGTAGGAAACCCAACGCTCTGTAATCATAAACCATTCATTTTGTCCGCACCTTAGTTTTCTCATCCATAAAAGTTCCTAAGACAGGTTGACAGCAAGTGTTGAAGTTTGTCTATGAAGGACTGGGATAGTGCTTGATAGTATTGTTTCACTCATCTGATTCAAAATATTCACTTGGTAATACAATGGTTCCAAGTTAAGTAGGTTCAGAGATGCTTACTTATCCATTTATGTCCCGTGCACCTGTCTCAGGTAGCTTTTAATCTAAGTCTCCCCTCCCTCATCCTCCAAATGTGGCTCATGAGAACTCTCTCTCTCGGTTATTGAGAGCATTAAGTGAGATGCTGCACATGCAGAGATGAAAAGCACAACTCAACACATTTTAGTTCTTTTCTTCACTGCTCTCCATTATTTCTGGATTGGGATTATTTTCTGCAGGGTGAAATCTATGTTTGATCAGTCCAGACCACCTGAAAATTCAGTGCACAGTGGATAACTTGTTATTGCACAATTTTGACAATTGGTCAATTATTACCTCTTTCTTAACATATAGAAGAAAGAAAATAGTTATCTTCTCAGAGTTAAACAATTGATAAGAACTGCTAATGGTGAGAAAAAAAACATTATAATGGACAGGGATCAATTAGTGATTTAGAAAAACAATGTTTTCTTAAGTTTTAAGGTTTTTCTCAAATGTACACTGCATTTGGTGAATTAAAAGAGATCTTATACCAAAAAAAAAATCACAACAGTTATTATAATAGAATCTTTGACTCTTCTCAGTTGCCCAAGGCTGCAGATGGCTCAGTAATTTGGTCATTAAGAGCACAAGCTCTAAAGCCATTGAGTTCTGGGTAAAAATTCTAGGTACATACTGTGTGTCCTTAGTGTAACTTGGGAAAGTGTAACTCTGGATAAGCCTGAGATCTCATATGTGGAATAAAGAATAGAGTGATTTTTCCCCCAGGAGGACTGTTAACAGGATTAAATGAGATACAAAATATTTAAGACTCTGGGTGCTAGTCTAGATTACAATAAAAGTAGTGTTTCTTTATTGAGCACTTGGAAAGTAACAGAACTGAGGGCAACCAGAGTTTATCTCCTGGCAACTAAAGGCTGCTGCCTACCTACCTTAGAGTAATAATAAGCTTCTGTCAAACTTGTACTATGATTCCTATACAACAAGGGGCTGATCTGCTGCTTTCTGTCCAACTATCTAGGGAGTCATACCTAAGCATCATCTGCCCACCTCCATTCTCACCCTGTGTTTCTTCCAAGACAAATGCTCTTGGCTGAAATTTGACAGCTTGCTTAAAAAAAAAAAACGTAAACAAAGATGTCTCTTCTTCTCAAATTGATGTATTTTTCAGCCATGTCCATTTTTCCCAGGTAGCAGGGATAAAGGGAATGTTCTTGGCTAACAAGAAGATTGACAACCAAGTGAAGACCTTCATCACATACAACAAAGGCAGAGACTGGCGTTTGCTGCAGGCACCAGACACAGATCTCAGAGGGGACCCTGTACATTGCTTGCTGGTGAGTCTTCTTGGTGGAGTAGAGCACCCCCACAGAGAAGGCCTCGAAGTGCCTTTAATAAGAGGATGAGGCTAGTTCTGGGATGTTTGTTCAGTTGATGAACAAAATGGGCAGGAAAGGGCGTAAAGGCAGAGTTTGCAGAAAAGAATCTCAGGGCTGCCTTTGTGATGGGCCAAGGAGATAAGAGCATATGATCAGTCTTGTGCTCATGACCAGGATCTTTATTTCCCCCAGTTTTTTTGTTTGTTTGTTTGTTTGGGGGATTTTTGTTTGTTTCTTTCTTTTTGAATTGAACCTAGAGTCTCATGCATGCTAAAGTGCACCCTTCTTCTAATGAACATTTACTGCCCTATAAGCAGAGTCCTGACCAGGACCTCAACTGGTAGTTTCAGGCAGAATATGATCATATTCATCTTTCATGAGGGTATCCCATAAATATTCTTACTTTCTTGTAAAAAATCCCATTACAGTTCTAATGAGGAATACATTTAGCTGCAAAACTGATGAATTGAATACAGAATTGTGTGACAGATTCCCGTGGTAAGGTTTGCTTGCATTTTGAGATAAGTTTATGCCTCAAAAAAAGGGTTAAATATTACCAATTTAAACCCATTTATTTTCTTTATATTATGTTCCACTCATTTGTCTTAGTCTATAAAGCTTGGGCTGAGAGAGTCGATGGCCTGTGGAGAAATATAACCCATTGTGTTTTTCTAAACAATATTTCACTGTTGAAAAAACACAATCATGATTTTTCTTGTCTGTGTTGTCTATGGCTGCTTTCACTCTACAAAGGTAGAATCAAGTCGTCCTGACAGAATATGGCCAACAAAGCCTAAGATATTTACTTTATAGCCCACTGAAAAACAATTTCTGACCCCTGCTTGAACTATGCTTTTCTTTTAATTATCTTACCTTTGGGCACAGTGTAAATTTTTTATATATTTAATGATATTATGGTATCCAAGAGAAGGATCAAAGATGGTTCTTGCCTTCAAGGAGTGTTCAGTCAATATTTCTCTATTTGAGTGAGGTTAAGTTAATAAATGAAAGATCGTAGGGTCACATCTTATCACTCTTAGTAGCTCTGAGGCCTGCTCCATACTTGACGCACCAAGAGATACTCAGTGAATGTAGGAGGAAGAAAGAGATGAATTGCGGATTAAAGTCTCATGAAATTAATATGATTTGTTTCTGTAAAATAGTTCAGAAGTTATGTTTAAGTGAAGGAAAAGGAAAGGCAGTATATAAACCTCTAGGTTTATATAAGAAGACCACTTAGTTTTAACAGGAAGGGCTTGGTGCATGGTGCGTGTATATTCAGCCTGTCATCTTCCTGCCCGTCTATCCTTGTTCACACTCTGCACAAACCTGACTTTGATGTTATCCTCCCTTGGCTTGCTTCTTCCATCCTACAAAGCCTGGATGGTCACTTAGCAGGTTCATCCTGAACAGCAGTAGGTGGGTCACCCTCCTACTCAAGAAGACGCCAGCAGCTAGAGCTTGACCTTATTAGTTGCAGAGGATATCACAGTTGTCACTGTGCATCAGGGAAGCAGTTTAAAATTCAGCCTCCCATTCAGCTTCCATCCTTATTACTGGCAACTGGGAGAAAAAGAGCCATTTGTTATAGTGAATGCACAAAGCTGTTGACAGACTAAGTAAATATAATAGCAATTTATTGAATGCCTATACTATGCAAGGCACAGTCACGTGGCATGAAAACAAACAAACAAACAACAGCAACAAAACCCCCAAACAAGTCCATCTTCCTAGCTAAGCTATTCTAAGTTGGAATATTGTGATATTTAGTCGAAGATGCATTGAATGTTCCAGTATCTTAATACGGTCTTCAATTCCCACCAGGTACTTTGCAGAGAATGAGATGAGCCTATGAGAGAGAATAAACCATGTGACATGGTTTATAGGCTCTTCAGCCTCATAAATGAGTCATTAAAAATGGCTCTTAGAAGGCTGGGGCTGTAGCTCAGTGGTAAAGTGCTTGCCTAGCATGTGTGAGGTACTGGGTTTGATCCTCAGCACTATATAAAATAAATAAAGATACTGTGTGTTCATCTACAACTAAAAACATATTAAAAAATAGAATGGCTCTTAGGTTTTTAGCTCAGTGGTAGAACACTTTCCTGGTATGTACAAAGCACCTCTGGGTTTTATTTTCAGCACTAAAAAAAGAAATTAATTAATACTAGTAATAATAAAATAACAAAAGTGATTCAAAACCTAACAGCAAAGTGTTCCCTGCTTCACCCCAACCCAGAATCATGAAGTCATATTGCTGTGCCTCCAAAATAAACTTACACTATTAGTTCCTACCCCTGCTGGGACCATCCTAATCCAAGCCACAAGCATGTGTCACCAGACCCACAGTGACCCACAGTAACTTTCTATCCCCATTTCTATCTGGCAATCCATTCTCCACACAATAGACAAAGCAAACTTTTTGTTTTAAAATCAACTTTATTGAAGTAAAACAGAGAGATAAAAACAACTACTTTAACGGAATACTTTGATGAAGTTTGACAAATGTATATACCTACTATCACAATCAAGGTGGGATATTTCCATCACCCTAAAAATCTATCTGGGCTCTTTTGCAATTAGAATCACACTCCCACCCCTAGAAAACCAACTCTTCTTCCTTATATTAAAATAGATTTACCTTTTCTCAAATTTCATAAAATGTTATCAACTTAAATTTTTGAAAATCCACATCATATCTCTCATTAACTTCAGCATTCAAATGGTTTTCTAGTTCAAATTCCTTATCATGCCTGACAGGTCCCATATGATCTGGCCTCTGTCTATTTCTCTCTGATCTCTAACCTCTAGCTCAACCTTCCTTACACAGAAGCTCTGGTTCAGAGGCGTGAGTTCTTTTCACACCATGAATAAATATAATGTATTCATTTATGTCTTGGGGTATTTGAATTTCTTATTATTTTTTTAAAAATGTCCTTCCATTAATTATGTTTTTTCTTGGCATTCAGGTTCTTACTTCTCAAACAGCTTTCTTGAGAATCCAGTAAAGTTATATTCATCTTAATTCTTTTTTTCCCATGACCTCTACTCTATCTGAAATCAGCACATATATTCATTGACTTTCTCATCCACATCCCCCTGTTAACTGTGAGTTTCATGAATATGGGACTGTGCCTGTCTTTCTGGCCATTAAAAGATCAGCTCCAAGAATCATATCTGCCACAGGGCAGGTGCTCAACATCCATACTGTGTTTGGGAGTTATGCTTGGAGTATACTTGAGAGTGTTGTTTGAGTTTCACATTTGGACTCCAGTGGAAGCCATGTGTTCCCTTGGATGATGACAAAGAAGGATTTGTTGTAACATCCGTCTCCTGAAGCTCTTGGGCTCAAGTTGGCTTCAAAGTCAACAAAATCACAATCTTCATTAAGATTGAGGAGAGATAAATTACTGTGATGGAGATGTGTGGTATGCAGGAGTCCTTTATCCTTCCTCCTTCATTAACCCTGTTGCTTCCCGCATTTTCAACATGGACGCTTAAAAAACAGGTAGCTTGACTGAGGAAGGTAAAATGTCAAAGGGGTGGGAAGGAGAGACCAAAATCATTTTTTAAAAATCTGCCAAAGGCCACAAAATAGGAAGGAAAATCTTTGAGCTACAGGAGACCCAGACTGTTAAAAACCTTCTTTAGGCTCAGGAGCTGGTTGGCAGAGGAGTTAAAAAGTGATTTTAGATTGTGAGAACTTGGAAAGTGACAGTGTCACCGAAAGCACAGCCTAGTGATTAGAACGGAGATTTTTTCCAGCAGGGCTGTTACAAATGTGGAACAAGTTCAGAATTACAGCCCCAAATGGAATGTTCCTGGGAAAATGCATTCTATAGAAATAAGACATCCAGGGTAATTTCGGGCTGTATTTTTAGGACATTCAGATGGGTTGCTTAAAGGACTCAGCTGGGATTTCTTTCCTCTGAAGACTGCATTGTACAATTAGGTAGGGTATTACAGGTCATGGTCCACTGGCCTCGAAGCCCCGGGCTCCCAAGAGGCAAGATGTGAGCTGAACTGAGCCTGTGACAAATCCTTGGTCCCCTGGGGAAGGTGCAGTGTTTCATGCAGAGGGGCCCTGACTTCTTTATGGATTCCTTTGGCAGCATTTTACTGGAACTGAGCAGGCAGTTGCCCCAAGAGATTCATGACTCTGCTTTCCACCTCACTGCGCTGTGTGTGACACCACTTGTGGTGCTGGTTTGGAATAGAACCGAACACCCCACACCCAGCCCATTGTCTGAGGGCCTCCCTCATCTTTGCTATTAAACCTTTACTGAAGAGCTAATGAGTCCTAGCTCCAATTCAGAGTCAGAAACTACACATAAATGGGTGTATTGGGGTGAGGTGGTTATAGGTATTTGGAGATTTGCTTGCTGCCTTGTTATTTATGAAATTCTGATCAATCCTTTCAGTACAATATTCAGATCAGTAGTTTTGGGGAAAAGGCACTGTGAAGATAGTATCTAAAGGCTGTTATAGAGGTTGGAAGGAAAAAGAATTTTAAGCTGGTTGACTCTCAAATACTCTCTAACCATTTGTTAAGTTCGTTTATTTCATAGTGTAGAAATGTCTTCTGTCATTTGGTAATTCCCCATTGGCCATGAGAGTGCCTAAAACAGGGTAGATAATTAATGATTCACCTGGAAAACATTATGCTAAGTGAAATAATCCAGGTACAAAAAGACAATTACCACATGTTCTCATTTATATGTAGAAGCTGAAACACTCAGACTCTGAGGAGCAGAGGACAGATGGTGGATGAATGGGGAGCTGTCCATCAAAGGGCACAATGCTTCCATTAGACAGGAGAAGTAAATGATCAGTATTTGAGGTGAAAAACTAGTTGTGGTTCAATTAAATCTAGCAGACATTTATGGAATACTTGCCATGGCCAAAATATCTCGTCAGTTAAAATAAAACATAAAAGAAGAAAGGTCGTTAGAACCTAGAAGTCCACCAATGGGCTTTCAGGGTTTGTGAGCTCCCTGGAATTGAATGGAAGCTGTGTGCTTGTCCTTGTGCTTTTATGTGATCCTTAATTTGTATTAGATTTTCAAACATTATACCTGACCCTGAAAAGATTAAAGACTAAGGATCCAATTGTTCCTAGAATTGACCAATTGATGATGTGCCATGGCTCATGCATATGTGCAAGTCAGGCTTGTGACTGGTCCCTCCACCCTCTGTAAATCAGCTGCCAGGTCATTGGTGGTTTCAGTATGCATTCCTGTATTTTTTTTCAAAGTTTTTGCATTTTTTCTTTTTTTCACACTTTTTATTGGTGCATTACAGTTGTACATAGTGGTGGGATTTGTTGTTACTCTTTGTACGTGCACAAGATATAACAACATAATTTGGACAATATTATTTCCCACTACTTCTGGAATTTCCTCCTCTATACCCCCTCTCTCATCCCTTTTCTCTGCTCTATTGATTTCTCTTTCATTTTATTTTTTTAAATATGGAAATAGAAGAGATGCAGAGAACTGCTCTTGGAGCAAGCTATGCTTTGACTTTGTTGCATTTGAGACAACCCTGGAAGTATAGCAACATCTGTGACCATTAACATAGGGTAGGTAGGTGTACAGGGCCTGCTTGCTAACTTGATAAAAGAAGGCAGGAAAGAGCAGGACATGGTGGCCTGCACATGTAATCCCATCTACCCTGCAGTCTGTGGCAGGATGATTGCAAGTTCAAGACCATCCTGGGCAATATAGTGAGACTATTGTCTCAAAATGAAATGTAAAAATATCTGGGGATGTAGCTCAGTGGCAGAGACCTTGTCTATCTTCTGTGAAAGCCTAGGTTTAATCTTTAGGACTGGGGGTGGGGGTGGTGGGTTGCTGTTGGGAAAAGTGTCTCTGAATCGTAAACTGTTCATGCGAATCCCAGAGCCTGGTCTTGTGTCCTGCAGGAACTTGGAGTCACTTGATCGTCATTATAATAAAATCTCTCAATTAGTTTTAACTTTGGTGACTTTTAACTTTTTGACAGATGTCCAAAGCAAGTACAGAAGTTTAAATTAAAAAGTGACAATGAATCACTTAACATTGTTTTTCTTCACATATTTGGGTAGACTATGTAAATGCTTTGAAAAATAATATGAAAGAAAGGGGGAAAAAGAAAACCACAGAATATTCTCCATGTACCAGCTGGGGGCAATCCAGTACTACAAATGTGAGAGTGGAGAAAATATGCACCAAAAAGATCATTTCTAATGTTGCTGCTACTGTGCAAACTGGTGTCTTTTCCTCTCCAATCAATATGTCTTGGTCCGCTGAACACCATAGCAACAGAGCAGCCAATTGAAAACGTCCTGTTTCCTTTGTAATGGCAAGTTTCCCACACCAAATAATCCTTGGCTCAAGTGGCAACTGAGCTTCACAGTCTTCCAGCTGTGGCAGCAGCTGGCTCAAGATTGCAAGCTGGGTATTCCCCAATGCAGGAATTTTCTACACTCTTAGAAAGTGCAGGAGGCTTTGCATTAAGCCTAGATGTCTATTTATGATGCCCAACTCCAGTATGCTTCTTGGGATGCCATGGAAATGGTCACATTACTCAGATTGTATGATTTGTGATCAATTCCATGTACCTCTGGCATTGTTCTGAGTAGAATAGTTAATCAATGTCTTTCATGCCCCAATTTAAAAAAATGCAGTACTTGATATTACATCCTTTTATTGATTCATCTTTTTATTGGATTCTATGCACAATTCCACAGAAGATGCAAAGAAGCAGTTGACGTGCTTTCTTCATTTGTAGAGTGTCTCTTTAGGAGATAAAACTGAACCATACCTGAAATAGGTTACTCAGGATTGTGCATCATAAAATAAATTGTAGTTTATCAGAGAAGGGGAGGCTTTTCTGATAAGCTGCAGTTGTCAGGAAAATGTTCACGGAGAATATGATGAATGCACCCACTCTATTCTGTCTTAATGTTGGCTGAGCATTGGGCAATACTGACCTGGGACATCTACAGCATTTAGCAGTATCTATTCTAGTCTTCCTCTTGGACAAAAGGATGCCAGATACATGACTCTGGTGTTTCTTTTTAGAGGGGCTATCTTTCTTATTTTTACATAGCATTATAAAGTAAAATGTTGTTTGAAAGTTTTACGTGTAATTTTCATACAAAACCAATCGATTGTTTCTTGGGAGCTTTACTTTCTGTGTTGACAGTGAGGAAAACACTCTCATACTATCTGCAGTTTTATTTTGCCAGTATTTTGGTTACTTTTATTCCTGAGTTTCATTTTTAGCTCACCATTTACTCCATCCTATATAAATTTAATCATTGTATCTCTGTAGTTCTCTGAATATCTGTTGCCTGAGACTTACAGAGCAGAATAAAAGTAATAACAGAGATACATTGGTGATTCCAAAGACTCAAGTCGATAAAAGTAATCTTCCTGGGAGATGAAAAAAATATATAGGATCAAACACAAACTTGTATTTTTTGACAACTCAGTACAAGGATTATTTTAAACAAAATTCGTAGATTTATTATCCTCTTTTTTCTTTTCTTTTTTTTTTTTTTGGAAAGCTGTTGATATCTTAATCAGGGAACTTGATCAAGGTTTTCAGACATAGATAAACAAACCCCTCATATTTTCATTTAAATTTTTGTTACTAGTGCATTTTGTCTACAAGTATGACTACTGTATTGAATAAAACGGATTCTAGAAGGTAAGGAGGTGCAGGCCAACTTTGGAATTTTAATAGAGACATTGTGTCTGTTGCTTGGCGAATGTTAGGACATGGGTACATGTCACACAGTCTTTTCCCAACTAAGATTGGGATCTCAACTGAAGAATGACTAAAAGATGCCAGCTGAATTTTTCAAAGTTCTCCTGGCCTGACTCAACCTTTTCTGGCTTCAGATTCCATTTCTCCTCTTAATCGTACCTGGCTATACCCTGCAACTCTTCTGCTTTGTTATTGATGTTCCCCATGTCTGAACATCTTGCCCACAGTTCAAAGCCTACTCATCCACCATTTTCTCCTAGGAACTCCCCCTGCCCAATCCAAAGTTGGACTGTGCCTCCTCACTTTCTAGAATCTCATATAATGTGTTGTCTGTATTTATCTTATGGCTGTTAAAATACTCTCTCTTTATAGTAATAAATAGAAAGATCTCATGTTTTCTACTTGAATTGTAACCTCTCAAATGTCCAAATTTGAGGCTTTGCAACCCTGTAATAAACTTCCTCTAGAGTTTTATGTATATAATACTTAAATACTCATCAAACTACCAAATTGGCACTTATATCAGCAAATTACACCTACAGTGAAGGAGCTTTCTATTCTTGCAAACTTGGCAATTGTCTTACACTTAGAAGACACTAGATATTTGTGGAATGCAAGGTGGTAGTTGGGTGGACGAATGGGTGGTAAGAGGACACAGGGATGGGGAAAGATAGATGGGCTGATGGGATGGACAGATAGATGGATGCATGAATGCTCTGAATTGGGGCTTTAAGTGACCATTAGCTTTTGTGCTGTTATGACTCTCATTTCTTCCCTGTGTAGCCCTATTGCTCACTACACCTTCACCTGAAAGTCTCTGAGAATCCCTACACATCAGGAATCATTGCCAGCAGAGACACAGCTCCAAGCATCATAGTTGCTTCAGGTAAGAAGCTTGTCTCCTTTGCTTGCTACTGTAGATGGTGCTGATTTTAAGAAGCTAGATATCCATGGTTGGAATTTAATGAGCAGGCTAGAAATATTTTCAAAGGCACCTAAACCATTAACCCTGAAGCAAGTATGTTGAAAACCCCTGCTTGGACAAAATGCTTGCAGTCAAAATCCTTCTCAGGCCATGCAGACTGCTGATCTAGGCCATTGTTAGATTTTGTGGAAAGTTCTTTTCACTAATGGTGATGTGCTCTTTCTAGGTAATATAGGTTCTGAACTGTCAGACAGCGACATCAGTATGTTTGTCTCTTCAGATGCAGGGAACACTTGGAGGCAGGTAAGAAAAGGCCCTGGGTTGTATTGCAGAAGTTTAAATAGCATAAAAATTGTTCAGTTTGGTTCAAGTCTAGGAGCTTATTTAGCAGTGGTACATTCTACACATGAATCCTAAAACATACTACGTGGGTTTTTAAAAAATAAAAGTCTCAGGCTGGGGTTATGATTCAGCGGTAGAGCGCTCACCTTGCATGTGTGAGACCCTGGGTTTGATCCTCAGTACCACATAAAAATAAATAAGTGAAATAAAGGTGTTTTGTCCAACTACAACTAAAAAATAAATTTTAAAAAAGTCTCAAACAAATCTTTTGAGTTTAGCAAATTCTTGTGCAGTTTTATTTCTTTTGTTATTTAATAAAGATAATTCTTAATTAGGACCTGGAGGTAAAGACATTTATAAGTGAACATTTTTTTCAAATTAGAACTGATGGAATTTTTCCCAAAAAAGGAAAAACAAAATACCTGTGGATTTATCAAATAGGAACTTGGAACTTGAAGGGTTCTCTTGAGATCCTTCACTGTTGTTTTCCTCTATCACTAGGTTGAGTTTTGACAAAGGGAGATCTTGGAGCAATTACAGTTTCACTTCTATTCCACTTTTTGTGGATGGGGTTCTGGGTGAACTGGGAAAAGAAACACTAATCATAATGTAAGTGGAAAGCTATGGTACGGTTCAGCCTTAATACAGGAGAGTAAATCCAGAAAGATGTTTTATATCTGAGTCTGCTTTGATTTGCTGCTGTTAGGTTTGAGGTTGTTATCACAGTCAGTGCCCCCTGCTACAGGAGTCCCTAGCAAAAAGGCGAAAAAAAATGTGGGCAATCATTTTCTTGGCTCTGATAGGTTTGAGGAGACTCAGACTGGGGGTGGTAGCAGAAGAGAAAAGCTCTTTTCTTTCTATATTCAATGAGTTAGGGAAATTAGAAGGAATTATTTCAGGAGCAAATAAAACTATGCATTTAAAATTTTAATATAAGCAGAGTGTATATGCAGAAAGTCTCAGGCATCTAAGTATAATTTCTATTTCAGTCAGAACACAGCATTTGATCAAAACCCCATGAGGGATTTTATTTTCTATGGCTCTTTACCTAACCCAATTGTGAGGTATATTAGGAAAACCATGAGAACAATCTGTTCTTGTGAAATTGCATTTACATTCATTCTTGTCTGAAAAGTGATGATCATTAATTTGTGAAAGACTTGATTAATGACTTGGCTGCCTATGGGTTTAAAAATATGGGCTTTGAACTTGGAATACGAAACTGTGATATTTCCTTCCCCTAGAAAATTGGCCATGGGAAAACAGAAAAGGAAGGTTTCAAAGTAGTTGATCCTATCATCATTGAAAATTTCAAAATCAAAGTAAATAATTGGCTTGTTTTCTAACCCCATACTGCACTTTTTTTCAATGATAGAAAACATCAAGAAAAATTTAATATGCCTAATAGCTATGCTTTTGCTCATGGGAAACATAGCTAGATTAGCAATTTATTCCATAATTTGCTTTTATTCAGTTTTTATATTTGCCACTTTGTGGCTTTTATCTACACATATGATTGTTGATTCAATCACTGCATTAAACACCTGAGTCTCTGAGTAGGGAGAGTAGAATGTTCAATGTAGGAGCACGCCATTACCATTTGGCTGTGGTGTCTACTTCCCTAGGGACTGGTGGAAACACCAAATAGCATGGAAACAAACAAAGAAAACAAACAAACAACAAAAAAAGGGTATATTAGCTCTAAAATTTTCAAGTATAATCTTGGATCACCTAGATTGCACTTCTTGTGACTGTTTTCTCTGTCATTTTTGTCAATTATTGTTGTGGTACAACATATACAAGTGGACTCTTAAGTTAAATACACTGAGATCCATCTGTACCCATGATTAGTGGCTTGAATTTGGTTCGGATGAACCTCTTTGAGCCTCAAGTTATCTATCTTCAATGAGGAGCCCATAATGGTATCCTCTTCATAAATGTATTTGGACAATTAAAAGCTTTGACCCATGTAATGTGCCTGGCATGACACATGACACCCCTGTGAACACCAGGTTCAGAGTTAACACAACAAATGCAAGCTCTTGTCAATACTGTTGCCCTTGTGATTATCGTGTTTACTTTTATCATCATGAACCCTGAAGAGTGTTTGGATACTTCAGCCACCGCTCTGAATGGCAGCTGGTTAAAGTGGACTACAAGTCCATTTTCGACAGATGGTGTGCCGAGGAGGACTACAGGCCTTGGCAGCTACACAGCCAGGTAAGGGGAAGACAGCTGAGACTGAGCCCTGGGCAGGGGGCATGAGAGGTGATCAAGGAAAGCCCGTCCTTCAGGCTTAGAAACTGGAGATCTCTAGGCCAAAATGCCCATTTCTTCCTTTCGTTCGTTCTTACATATTTTGCATGACACAGCATTGAACAAACTCAACATTTATATCTTGTTGTGAAGTTATTTCTGTTGTATTATGCTAGAATATAATGAGATAAAATTCAAATGTGCTTGGCTTAGACTTACAACTCAAAATACCAACTCAGCACTGAGATTCAAACATAATTTATCTGAGCATGTCATACAGTGGGGGCAGGGTAAGGAAAAGATCTTCCATTTTATCTACCGTTTCAGACAGAGGCAATGCATAAAATAACAAAGTAATGCTCCCTAAGCAATTCCAGAAAAACCCTTCCTGTCCATTTCCTGGGTTCCCTGGGAATACATAGTACTTCTTGCCTCCTTCTAAGGTACTCAAAGTATAAAAATACAGAATTATGAATAGAAAACTTTACTACATCCTGGCCTCTTAGTTATTCAGTTCACATCAAAAGGGTTGGATGAAAATGTCCCTTTAATTTTCTATGGTGGGAGCCATTTCTACAGGCCTCTCTGAGGATCTAGTGGAAGCTCTTATTACAAAGCCATCACTTTGTTCAGGCAGTGAAACATGGTAGGTTCCAAACCTGGACTAAGGATTGCATTTGCATGAAGATGTGTAATGGAGCCTCAGGAAAGACAGCCTAGAACCAATTAAACACAATTCTGCCCTCGTTGTTCAGAAGCACAAAAGAAGCTATGTTTGACAGTGGGTGCTGCATTAGCTAGAAACACCCTCCCTATTCAGAGGCTCAACAATAAAATTATCGCTCACTTACATTGCTGCTATTTTCCCCTTTGGGATGCATAAGCATTGTGATATTCAAAGCTTTTATTTATTTCATGGAAAACACTGAATTTAGTTCTCTTGTTTGTCTAGTAGATGAACATAAAATCAGTGCTATAAAGATGTGTGGGCAGAAGCATAATAAATCGGGACAAAATGGTTCTTTACATTTCTTAGCAACACTCGTATTTCGTATGCTCATAAATGACCAATTGTATAAATCTTTTGTTAGAAGAGAATTGAACTTAATTACTACTGGTTTGCCAACTAGTTATAATCTGTCTTAATTATCTGTGTGTCCTCTGTAGCACTAAGATGTAACCCTCCCCCAGTACCAGTTTGTTAAACACATGAAGAGTTAGGAATTTATTAGACAAATTCCAGTACTTCTTAGGATTATCTTTATAGTCACATATTATGATAGACATCAAAAACAAAATGCTGTTAGCACAAAGTACCACACCAGAATCTGTATTACACTAAGGTTTGTGAATATCTCCCTAACCTTCTCTAAAATGGAACAGAAAACATACAAGCTATGTGCCCAGCTGTGTGTGATGGTTGTCTGCTCACAGGGGGAAGCATGCATCATGGGAGCCAAGAGGATATACAAGAAGCGAAAATCCGAGCGGAACTGTATGCAAGGAAAATATGCAGGAGCTATGGAATCTGAACCCTGTGTTTGCACAGAAGCTGATTTTGACTGGTGAGCTGGCACCATTATTCCATGGAGTCATTCTATATTTCAAATACATATGGCCCTTGAAGAGAGTTTAGATTGGAAATAGTAGTGAGTGACCTATGTAGGGCTCATGGCAAACCTCAGATTCTTATAAGATTATCTCTTGGGGACATCATGGTTACTAGCTATGTGCCTACGTGATGACAAAATCAGGCATTTCTTTAGATTTAAAAAGGATTAAGAAGATAGTTGGTAATTATCTTCATAGAGTTGATGGATACTTTGGTCAAAAAGAGAAGCTAGATCTATCCTATGTTACTTTGGACAGCAAATCTGAAAACAATAATTGGACTTTGCAGGGTACAAAGATAAAGTCTAGATAAATTCTTTCTGGAATCCAGGGTTTTCAGTAGGAAATGATAGTCTTATAAAGCAGTAAATTCTCTATCTCTGAAAATTTTCAATCAGTGGTCAGCTGAATACAGCTAATAGAGATGTGGAAGACATTTGTGAGCTCACTGTCAGGATGGCTTTGATGGCATTATGAATCTTTGAACTGGTAAAGAAGCTAGTTAAAACTGGAGAAGTACTGAGACTTTGAGAGGTTTAAACAAAACTCAGAGTGCTGTAGAATTCTTGCTGGTACATTTGCTAAGCAGAAACTTTGCTTAAGGGACCAAGGATGAGTACCTTCACTTTATTCTTAGTCAGTGTTTAGTGGTCAGGTAAGGTTGACAAATTATTAATGGTAAATAATTATTCCATTTGTAATTATCTCTATCACATTTTATGTTATTTATTTTCCTCTTCTTCTGTATTTCTGTTGTATATAGTTATGCATTTGTGTGTGTGTGTGTATTTTTTACTTTAGAGAAAACAATCACTAAATAGGTATGTAGATGTTGAACAATTGAAATGTGACCTGGATAAGAGCTTTATCCAGGTATTTAACAATTTATTTCTAACTGTGTAACCATCACAGGTCAAATACCTGATCATCAAAATATCAGTGATCAAACTGAGACATTGTGTGTGTGTGTGTGTGTGTGTGTGTGTGTGTGTGTGTGTGTGTATAATCATATTTTAGAAGAATTTTGCCTTCTCTAACAGTAGGAGATGTTCTCTGAATGAGTAGTACTGGGAAGGCCTGGCAAAACTGTGCTCCAGTGGTCTGACAACTACCCATAGCTATCCCCTTTATTGATGGATAAGGCAAGTCATCTGGGCACAGTGGTGCACACCTGTGATCCCAGTGACTCAGGAGGCCGAGGCAAGGGGATTGTGAGTTCAAAGCCAGCCTCAGAAACTTAGTGAAGCCCTAAGTAACTCAGTGAGACCCTGTCTCTAATTTTATATCTATATCTATATCTATCTATCTATCTATCTATCTATCTATCTATCTATATATATATATATATATATAAAGGGGCTGAGGATGTGGCTCAGTGGTTAGGCTTTCTGAGTTCAATCTCTGGAACCAAAAAATAAATAATTAAAAAAGAACTAGTGCCGTATCTCTTTGGGGTCAGCCAAGGCAATAGAGCTGCAATGACTTTAGCTCATAAGGACTTCCACAGGAGCCTCCCCAACAGTGACTTCTGTTGTAGTCAGTGTAACATTACACTAATAAAGTGACAAAAATTTTATAATTTTATACCTGTCCTGCACTTTGGCACTGACATCCTGAAATACATTTATAAGAAATCTTACCATGGGTTTTTAAGTCAGTCATCACAACCCTCTTTCCCATCATGCACTTTATTCAAGGAGGATTTGCAGAGGAAGTCAGCATGTTACACTACCAGCTTAGCTTTGGCCTTATGTAACAGTCATTTGTTTTCAGAGAGCAAATTTATTCTCTGGTAGAAAATTTAAGAGGATAAGTAAGAAGAGAGACCCCAATCCCCTAGTTTCTCCTGGAGACACTTCTTAGGTTTATTTTCTGCAAGGTTCCAAAATAAACCAGCATGTTGTTCCTGTTCTTCATGTTCAGTTGAAAGCTACTCCAGAGTGGGGGAAACCCAGGATAAGGAAAGCAACCAGGCTTCTCTCCTTCCCTATCCCTTGGCCCCATCCTTGCATTCATTTGTGAAGGGGATCTGTCATCATCTCACCAGGTGAACTGCATTTAGACAAGAAGAAAATTAATCATGAACAAGGCCATTGTAAGGTTTTTCTGGTCAGATGGGATTTGGGGGAACTGCATGATTTGTGAAAATATTTTGGAAGGCTCACCATGACGTTGTTGGGCTTTTACTGGTGGCTGGGGTTTCAGTGATTCCACCTGACTGCAATGTAATGAAAAGTGTTGTTACTAAATGTTCCCTTTTAGCTTGGTTCCCTGGCCATTGCCCCAGGTGACCTTGCCAGGCATGCTCCAGCATTTTTAATGTAATTCCCTGAAGTGAGCACTGGGTGTCCTGGAGGCAGTGATTCTGAAGTCTTACTATTCATGCTGTGTTGAACCAGAACCAAATCTAGCTGGTATGTGCAGAATTCTAAGTACCAGCTGCCTGGAGACAGGCCCCTGAGCTCAGCCGATGTCTTCCTTCCCACCCCTCATGTGCCAGCATCTCACCTCCATTACACAGATGGGCCAATTCCTACTAATGCTTGCTGATTGCTGCCTGTAATTTGTCTGTGCATGCAGAGGTGCAATTTGTTGTCATCCTCTGTGCCTGGTTTCATCTCCCAGAAGCCAAGAATATCAGGCCACTCAGAGGCCCCTGGAAACAAGCAGAGAGGACTGGGAGAGAAGACAGACAGTTTCCAAACCAGAGGGAAGCTATAGAGCTGTTAGTCCCAACTGGCAGCAATTACTACCTGGGACAAAACTTTTCCTAAGGGGATGCTCTAGACACTTCTGAAGGACATTTTTTTTGGCCGTGACTTTAAAACATATGGTTTGTGCACAGGGAAACCTGGCTCTGCTCTAGTCGGTAAATCCAGATGTCTTGGAAGAACATCCCAAAGACATCACCGGTAATGAGGCCTGTGCCACATGTGGCTGTATTAAACTCCATGGAGGAGTCATGTCTAGGGCTCCAGCTTCCACCACTGCCTGGTTTCTAATTACATTCAGTGTTTCTTTCTAATGAGAACATAATCCTCTATTTTAACTTAAAGGTGCTTAAATGGAATTATCGATTCTGCAGGAGGTTTTCATGGATTGTTGATAGATAGTCTATAAGAGGCAAGTTCCATTTTTAAGTTATTGATTTAGGGAATACATCCTTTTGACTGACTCGAGTAGAAGGTGGCTGTGGACTAACATGGAATTGTTCCGAGTCATTTTCCACCTACTGAAAGGTTTATCTTGGCTCTTTCCCCCACAGTGACTATGGCTATGAGCGACACAGCAATGGGCAGTGCCTGCCAGCATTTTGGTTCAATCCATCCTCTCTCTCAAAGGACTGCAGCATTGGACAGAGCTACCTCAATAGTACTGGGTGAGTTTCGGAGGCAGTGACCTCGAGAGGATCAATCTTTTAGGCTTTTGAGCATGTGTTCAACTGACAGAATTACTTCTGATCCAAGACTATGTAATTCATGTGCTTCATTTTAATAAGACAGCACAGCTTGGCATTGATAGTGCACTTTGTATCTGGGACTAAAACTCTGGTTTCAAATACACAAAGGAGGAAGGTTTCCTTGGAGGAAGAAGATGATGATGCTATTGACATAGACATTTCTTTACTCTTTGATACTTTATCAGTTCTTTACTCATGTGAGGTTACCTCTTACACTCACTCAATCTGCATGAGGAAGGCCAAATAGATGATTTTTTATGTGCTTTTTGTTTTGTAGATGTGGAAGCCTGAGTCAAAATGGGAGCTCATTAACTTTTCAACTTACAAGTTTTAACAGGAGTGTGCTTCACTTTCTGTCTGTAGTAAGGAATTGCCTCATGTGAATTGGAAACAGGACAGTTTCAGGATCTGCAGGATGAATCATCAATCTGGAGACTCAGAAACGCTGATGGCTTAGTTCCAGTCTGACTCAGAAAGCCAGTGGTAGAGTTCCTGTCCAAAGGCCAAGAAGCTTGAGACCCAGAAAGAAACAACATTTAGGCTGGAATCCATAGACTAGGAAATAAGCCAATGTCCCACATTGTGGGACATCAGTCATAAGAATTCTCTCTTACCTGGGGTGAGCGTGGGGGAGACTATCAAACTGTCAGACTTTCTGTTCTATTCAGACCTTCACATGATTAATTTAGGTCTACTCACATCAGGAGGGCAGTCTGCTTTTCTGCCTATATAAATGTTAATCTCATCTAAAGACATCCTCACGGAAACACCCAAAAAAATGTTGAACTAAATATCTGGGCACCTGTAGCCCAGTCAGATTGATATTGAATTAACTATCACCAGTGATTTAAAGGAGTTCTATATTTAGCTGTGATAAAGGCATTTTGGTTAGGATAAGGAAAATAAGTCTTTTCTTTTAAAGATGTATAATGCCTGTGTTTTGTGCTTGGATAAGAAGTATACATATTGAAAACTTTTGAAGATGAGTAATGAGTACAGTATTGATCATTGTACTATTTTCTCTCTTTTGTGCCTATTTCCAAATTCTCATATAAAAAGGTTAAAATGATAGGAAGAAAAGGGAAGGGAAGGAGGTGGGAGGGAAAGAAAAGAGAAAGAAGGGAAATTAAGATCTTAACAATAATCTAGGTCTGTTTGTCCAAGTTTCTTCTCATTTCTAATGCCAGCTGCAGGATACAGAATCCACTGCAGGAAGTGAAACTTTCATTTATGTACTTCTTTCTTAAATTTTTTTAAATAATTTTAAATTTTAAAATATTAAATAATTTTAATAATATAAACCAAATTTTATAAATCATTATTCTAAAGGAGTAAAAGATGCAGAAATGGACTTTGACTATTCCTATGTCTGATGTTAGGGATTCCTTTGGATGAAGGAATACCTTTGGATGAAGGAATAAACTATGATTCATTTAAATAAAAGCACAAAATATGAGGAAAATGTAATAGGTCAGGGAGGTCTATAGCATCTAGTACCTTGGAGAACAAAATAAAAAGGGCTGATTATTTAATTCAACTTAATGGAGAAGGAAGGCAAAGACAAAAATATTTGATTATTTGCATGTACCAGCATATTTGGACATTGTAAAGGGCACTGGGAATCTCTAAAGGTAATTTAAGAATTGTTTATTTCCACCACTAACTCAAATCAATCCAAATAATTGTATTATTCTCTCTTTGGTGTTAATGAGAGGAATCTGAAGCATAATAGGTCACAGTTGTTCCAGATCTGATGCAATCACAGGAATAAGATGGAGTGACCTCTTACTTTTCAGTTTATTGAGATTGTATAAGTCCTGAATATACTGACTTATATAAAATGAAACATCAAATTATTAAGTTACAATTTCCTATTCAGAAGCATTTATTGCCTGTGCCCTTGAAAAATTACAGTTTCAGTTGATTTGGTGATAAGTGTCCGGGTTACATAAATGTGTATCAATGCAATTGTTTATGTTCAATAGTCAAAATCAGAGCACAGTCTCCTACAGTACAACCTGCACCCTCAGGGTGATGTTCAAATCAATGAGCATTAATGATAGCTTCTGACCCCAGGTGATTTTTATTAGGTTGCTATCCACTGAGTTTGTACATTCCATTCAAACATTTTGCACAAAAGCATCAGCATCAGCCTAAGAGCTTATGTTAAAAAGAACATGTGGTAAGTTCTAGGCATCAATAGGTATGACCTGCACTTCTAAGAATGGTGCTCATAGGTGGAAGAGTAACCACTGGATTAGGGTCTTGTAGGGGACAGTCGGAGGGAGAGGTGTCAGTAGTAAACTCACTGATCAGTGTATTGAGTGAGTCACTCATTTTGCATGGGGAACTGGGAGACCTTCAGTTGGTACAAGGGCCTGAGTCATCTTAAAAGACCTCACAACATCAAATTCCCATGTGCAGTGTTTGTAGCCAGCTCTAGAGTTGTGAAGTGGAAAAAGGTAGGTGAAACTAAAAAATAACTCTCTGTCTTTCCTAATGTCAGTGCAGCATATCGCCTCAGATGTCCCTTGGCTGTATGTTGATTCAGCAATATTTCATAAGCACAGATTCAGCATATAATATTGTAGTCACTACAATGCTGCTACCTTTCTATTAAAAACATTTAATTACAAAAGAATTGTATAGATAGATATGTTTTAGGTGTTAAAATCTGCTTGGATCATTACCCAATCCTAGCCCCATTCCCACAACTATTTATTTGGTATTCATGCTTCCAAACACTTTTTTTAGCATTCACCAGTGAATAACTATGCCAAGAGAAAGTACATAAAATCGATTTGGAGGGCTGTTTTTGTGTGATTTGCTGTTTTTATGTGATAGATATTCTATTTCCCTTTTTAAGTTAAAAACATATTTTAAACATCTTTCCAAGTCAGAATATAGAAGGCTACTTTCCATCTCATTTCTTTTTATTCCATGGTATTAAGTGTTATAGAATTATTTAATTTTTCCCTTCATTGAACATTTGGGTTGGTTGTTTTGGGTTTTTTTGTCACTATAAATAAGGCTACAATTAACATTCCAATACCATATTACTTGTTATTAAAAACAGACAAAGCTAATTAAATCTCTTGGCAATGGAGGTGTTTCTGCTAGATTATAAAGCAAATTCCACTCAGCCAACTGGACCTGAGTATCAGGCGGTGCCAAATAGTTCCCTCACAGGGTTTTAAACAGGAGCTTCCTGCCCACCTGTTGCCTGTGAGTCCCACAAGGTAGGAATTTGAATTAACTGCCTCCCTCTTTAGAAGGCAAATGCCAGTGGATTCAATAAGGGTAAGATGAGGGGAAGCTCAAGTAAGCTTTTCCTAGATGAATCAGGTAAACAGGGTCATTTCTGGCACAAAGAACAAGACATGACTGGTGACAGGGCCACACTGGTAATCTTCTCAAGGCTCTGACACCAGTGCCTGGAAGCTATAGAAGTAAGGAGCCACTGTGCCCCCTGAGTCTGTCCAATGACTGTTTTAACCTGTCCTTGAGAAGCTTGTACTCAGTCAGTGTAGGATAACCTCAGGACTGGGGTGAAGTGCAGAAGAATCCCAGCTGTGGCTTGGCCTGCAGTTAGTGCCTACCTGCAGGTTACTCCAGGGCTGAACCTCCCAGAATTGCTTCTGGAGCAGAAATGTAGTCAAAACTTGAACTGAGTGGGTCTAAAGGTCACCTTGTCAGTCCAGGGCAGAAAGCAGACCTTCCAGCACCACCATTTTGAAAGCTTAGTTGGAAGCAAGCAGGAAGACCTTCCTACTTTTTATTTAGTTTTGAATGATTCAATGTATAAATGGTTATGGTTGATTTCAGAATCAGCTTACTACTGTGTGTATAGAGCAGTGTTCTCAGGTTTCACCAAGGTGGAAAAATTCCTGCATATGTTATTAATATGCCAACAGAAAGGCTGTTTTTTGTTTTTTTGTTTTTTTGTTTTTTGTTTTTGCCAGGGGAAAGGGGTACCAGTGATTGAACGCAGGGGCTCTCAGCCACTGAGCCACATCCCAAATAGCAAAATGTAATAGGTTATTTTGCATTTTAGTTAGAGACAGGGTCTCACTGAATTGCTTAACACCTTGCTTTTGCTGAGACTGGCTTTGAGCACTTGATCCTCCTGCCTCAGCATCCCAGGCTGCTGGGATATCAGGTATGCACCACCACACCTGGCTAGAAAGGCAGTTTTTTAGGAGATGTCAAAATGTTAATCAGCTTCATTGTATAGAAGTGAACGTTTGGACAATTTCTGTTTCAGTTCTTGTCTAAAACTAGAAAAGATGGTTTAAAAAAGAAGTGAGTAAGCGCAGAATGTGCCTCCAGGGGGCCGCCATCCTGACTCCTGGTCCACAGGTATCAGGGTTTCTAATGTCCACACCTGGAGCAGTGAGTCAGCAAAGCCCTGCTGTCTTCCACTGTCACCGACCTGCCTGGTTCACCTCTGGCCCCTTAAAACATTCACAAACCATTTCACATCCAGATGAAAAGTAAGGGCTTTGCCTGCTTGGATGGAAAGTGAAATATAATTAAGGATATTTCATATGGTGTAAAATAGAAAGATTTTTGAATGAAATGATGGAGGGTTTTCCATCCAAAGCTACCATTGACTGTTATCTTTCGTGAGTGATTTAGTTTCTTTGAGCCTTAGTTTCTTAACCTATTACATTTTGCTATTTGCCTTCAAGTGTGAATAACTGTGATACCATATAGAAAGCATGTAGCATAATGCTGGGTACATGTATTACAAAATACAAATACCATCAATTTCTATCATCTAAGGGTTTCTCTAGAGAAAAAGAGAGAGGTAGGGAACTTTCTTTTATTGTGAATCTGTAGCCCAGACATGTATTTGATGCCTGGTTGTCACTGCAATGCTGATATCTGGGACATTTTTCATCTAAACCTCTGCTGTG